ATAGATCATATTTGGGCCTCTCCCGGCGACATTTCATTAATTCCAATGTTATCAACATTGAGTACCCTCTCCGATGCACCAGACTTGGACTGCCGTATCTTATTAATAGATTTCGTTTTTTATCCGTCATTTTTATTATTAATTTTTTTATCATAGATTTGATTGACATAGACAATCATGTCCGGGTTAACAAGCAGCTCATGATTCAAGTTGTTTTCACTTATCATTACTCCAGAACAAAAGCTTTGTTCCATTCCTTATTGGTTAGATTCCCTCGTGAGTGGGCAACTTTGCCTTCCAATGGAACGAACAGTGTCTTGTTTAGTCACACCTTGTTTACCTCAAAACTTAAATTTCTCTGGTTTGTGCCAGGTGTGCACATTACGTAAAGAACTTTTTTATAACAGTGGGTTCTATGTGTTTTAATTTTATATTCTTTTAATTTAGATTTTAAATGTTTTTAAATTTATTCTCTACATATTTATATGTATTTTTTATCAATACTGTCTGTATCCCATCGCTATTTTTGTAATCTGTGTCCCGTTTTCGGTTTAATCTTTTACGTTATTTGTTTTAAATCATACATAATATATTTCTTCATTGGGTGGGGGTGTGGGAGAGTCCTGTTTCTGTATGGATTTTGATTTTTTCCCCTAGGGTTGAGTGTTTGTAATGTAATTTTTCTTGTTTCCTGTTCGTCCGAGTGTCTAGTGTATGTGTTAAATTATTCCTGTATTCTACTTTATAATTTTTTGTCCCTGTATGTGTTAAAGCTTTCTTCTTTCTGTTTTGTTACTTTGTAAATGCGCCTGGAGAGCTACCAGATAGTTATTAGGTTAACTTATTAGCGCTTTTTTTTGGTCATTTTATTTTATTGACCTTCGAAATAATAAATGAAATGAAATGAGCCCTCTCGTGACTCACCTCGCACGCACCGCACACTGAAATCAATGTTTGAGTGCATTTGCGTGGTTACTCCTGTTAACATACGTGTAGGATGTGTGCGCATGGCACACTTGGGTGCAGGAGTATGCTCCACCCCCGGCGAGAGTATACTGTCTCTGACTGGCGGGTCGTACTCCAGACGTACGAACGCTCAGGAGTATAGTCGTGTTACCACGAGTAGCTCGCTCGAACACCCCCCCCCCGTGTTTGCTTCAGTATGAAAAGAGCAACATCAACAATCGATGACTTTCTTTCTCCTGGACAATCCGTAATAGGCCAAACGTCCGTTTAGGGTCCATAAACGTACGATGATACCGTGCATGATTTGCGCCCCAAAACACAATATTTGATCATAATTAACGAGCTTCCGTATACGTTCGATAATTTTTGGAAGAATGATTCCTAACTGAAACCATCCCAAGAAACACTCATGTCAGAATTTTCCCTTTGTCCTCGTAAGGAGGAGTCACCTGCAGATGGGTAAAAAAACAAATTTCAGTAACGACTTTTTACTTCCTGTAGTATCATTCCCAGGTCTCCTTGTTTACTCGAGATTGTACAATTTTGCCAAGATTTACCTACCTGCAGTCAGAAAGACTACCATGGAGTAACTTCCGTAACTGTTCATCTGCTTATTAGACCACCGAATTACACTGTTCTATTTCATGTATTTAAAATTTTTAGAAGTGATAGGTCAGTTATGGCAGAATATTTCTCTTTTAGGTCAGGTAGTTTTTTCAGTTTCCATAAATCGATATGCTAGCAAATATTTTACAAAAGGTCTTTTTACGAGTAGAGTTTTTAAGAAGTAACTGAACAAAAAAATTACAAATTCTAAAATGCTTGCACGTTTTGGTTCCTGAAGGGCGCCACCAGGGATAAACTTTTAGGCTCTAGTACAGACACTTACAAGGCCGAGTTCGGGCGGCATGTACCCATCTGTTCACAAACAGCTCGATTTGTTGTTTGTTGTCGGCCGCTCGAACGCCGGAACAAACAACCAGTTACCGCTGGTAGTTAGTGACAAGCAACATATATGCAACATGGCGGCGTCCATGTAGGCTACGTTATTCGAGAGTTAATGTTTCGATGGGCTGAATTCTTTTCTGTATTAACAGGAACATTCATTTCTGTGTTACGGAAAATAATTAATGTTAATCTTGCAAAACTTCCCATTGTCTGTGGATTTGGAAGCCATCTCTCTACTTTTTGCAGCTGTTCAAAAATCAAAATCTCACGAGTTTTCCGTGTGTTCCTGTAAAACCCTGACGAAGAGGTGGTGTGTGATCCTGTTCCGAGAACAGTGTTTTGAGTCGTGTTCCTGCCGTTCGAGCGTTCGAGAAACCCGTGTCAAGAACAGGCCGCCCGAACTCGACCTTGGAAAGGGGACCTCGTGCAATCGGGGGAAAGAAAATTTAGATTCTTTATGTCGTACATCACGAAACCAGCATAAACCAGAAAGGTATAGCTGTGGTAATATGAGAGGGTTTGCAGAAGACATACGTGAAATACTTTGGTAAGAGAAAAAAGGACTATAAAGTTTATGCCCCATACAGATTTATGCGGCATTTAAATTGACTTGAGGTTTAAGACTTTTTGCCCGTAACACGGGCCAAAACTGGCTTGGCAAATTAGACCCACGTCCTAAAAGCCTGCCAACCGAGAGCCATGCCGCTAATGACAAACTATCTTTGTGGCATTTAGGTTCAGTTTGGTAACTGCTGGAGTTCTTCTGAAACGTGTGAGCGTGTTTCATAAAAACCTGTCCTATAATTTATGGCCAGCTGTACATTAACTCAGTCGAGGGCGGATGGGGGGCGGATCTTTCCAAAATAGAGATTTTTTTTCATAATGAGGAGCGAATTTTTGGTCTGTTTCATTTTCCTTCCTTCAAAAATATGTAGCTCATACACTTTTGAAACGTAAAGGTTACATAAAACAAATTGAAATATTTAGGTTCTTGATCGATCCTTGAGGTCAGTGTGGAATGGCGACGATAGGCCTACAGTGTAATTATTTCAGTGATTCTGTCTTTTGTAGCCGACATGAAATGGCTGAATACTCACCAGGTTGACAGCTTCTTTGGTGGGGAGATGTGCACTCAATCCCCGAAAGGATCTCTTGTACCTATGGGTCAGCCTACCCCCCGATTGATGCATGATTACGTGTTCTTCGAGTTCTTTAGCCACAACATCCACGTCATAATCATCCTAGGAAATAAGGTTAAAATAGGCACTAGCCTGGACAACATTTTCTACAGCGGTAGAACGAATGCTTGATTCGTAAAGCCAATATTTTACAGAGAGCATTGCAACAATTCTGTTACCGTACTGAAGAAAAAGAGTTTGAATTGAAAAGTCAGCATCTGGGTGCTGATTTGAATCAAACTATGCACATGTATTTATATAAAGATATCCAGGGCAAAGCTGACGGATGGACATCACACGTATAAATTAAAAATGGATTTCCCAACGAAATGGACGACACAGTCTGAGAAGAAAATGTAAACATACCATTTGATATATGTGCATGGAATGTGTGCTTGGTTAGACCGGCTGGTTAGCAGTGCAGGGAACAGTTAACGATAGGAAGTACCTCCAAAAGACAGCTTAACGAATAGATTTCACAAACATACACGCAAAACAACCGACATTGCAGATTATTAAGAAGTGGATTATTGATAGGAATCCGGCAATTGACGCATGTACAATGACATCAACATGGTCATACAGACAGACAGACAGACAGACAGACAGACAGACAGACAGACAGACAGACAGACAGACAGATACGCAAATACACATCCCGTTCTACTTACTTTGACTTTAATGATGTAGCTATCAGGAACCTTTTCTGCAATTTTTCGAATCGGTGCGATTCCTTCAATAGCTACGATTCCCGCCAACAGCAGGAAAGCAGACGAAACTGGTAACGTCACCATTGCTGACTAGATTTGGCTGTTGAAAATGGGATCAAGCTTGGCGTTGAACATTTAGGTATTATTAATCAACGCAATTTGAAGGATTTCTTTGAACGCTTGTGCTCAATTTTCCTTCTGAACTAAAAACTTCGCATTGAGGCAGATAATGTACTGGATTAAAAAAAAATCATACATTCAGAATATCAGAGAGCAAGATAAAGCGCCAGCATCATTGCTAATATGGCAACAAAATGAAAGACCACAGTAAAAAAAATCAGCACAGCTGCACAATTATTTCATACCAATCTGGATTTCTAATTTTGGAATTTCTCTTAAGGCATTGATTCGATGCAAATTTGACTCACTGAAAAGTGACGTGACACGTACCACAGGGACAGCTGTTCAAACAGAATTATTTATCAACTACAAGGGGTTGGGGGCAACGCTTGCGTCAAATGGCTATTTTTATCATGTTAAATAATCTTTTGTCTCATGTTCGCTTATCTTACCGCAACTTAACTGTTTTTTTCTCTTTGAGATGGGTGTCACACAAAACGGAGCAAGGGACATTCCCAGTATCCTATTCAATGTTCTGCAAGTCCTTTGATGGCCCTTTTTGGTCAACTGCATGCTGCATATTGTCCAAAAAATGAGACACTTGAGATATCACTTCAATCAGACTTCAACTTAAACGGGCCGACGGTTTTAATATATGCTTCATGCACAGATTCGATTGTTTGTGACGCTTGACATAATCTACGTCAATAGCAGCATTCATTATCTATATACCAAAACCTTAGTTAAACTTGTAGCTAGCTACAGGTTCAGTGCCGTAACACGCAGGATTTGTTACATGAATGCAGTCTCAGGTGTCGTAGATTACATCGAATGTTTTTAGCTGTGAAGTCCAGTTACTCATGCAAAAAATGCAAATGACACCAAGAGAAAAACATGCGCCGCGGGAAAAAAATCAACATCCAAAAAAAAAAAATCGACGGGGGGAAATGCGACGCAGAAAAATGTAGACACCGAAACTCGTTCCTTCCATGGGTGGGGTGAGGAAACTTTTGCTGATGAAAAATGGACAGTTGTTTCTGAAAAAGAAAATCCACATCTTGCCCCCCCCCACTCACCCTCGATAGGGGCGTTCACAAAATGTAAAACTTCGCAATAAGGGGAAAATGTTTTGCAGGCTGCCTTTGTAATATTACAAGCCCTCGTGACAGGATACTACAGGAAAGAAGACAGAAAAAGAAAGAAACTTGAGTGTGTACTGACCAAAAGTCAATAAAGATAACGACATGGTGTCTATTGAATAAAGACAAAGTCACTCAGCGATAACGGCACGAGCGGCCAGCCCGAGGGCGCTGGCTACGAAGCCTCTACTCAGTCCGATTGCTTCGAAGCCAACTTGATTTGTGTCCTGTTCTTCCGGCTTCTTTGTGCAGAATAATACGCCATGCCTCACAGAGGCGTCAAATGAGAAGAGAAAAAAGGGTGAGGTCTGAAACATCGCCTTCTCCTCTGACTACAAACGTCGCAAACATCATTAATTAGACAAATGACGTCCACGATGCGAGAGGTTATTAAGAAAAGGCTATATGACCATCAATCAGGCAGACCATAGTGGCAATTTGTCAGCGTGGCGTATATATGTACATCAAGGAATCCCAAAACCTGACAAATTGCCTCCATTACGGAGACCCATCCGACTGGTAGAGATGTTGAGGTATCAATTACATGTAATGGGATGTTGATAGCATGAGATGATTTATCATTAAACTGGGTGAAAGTCTTGACAAATACTAATTAAAATCTCAAGACCACTGGTGAAACCATAATTATTTGAAAATTTCAACGATCGTTAGTGTAATTGTATATATCAAAGTTATACCTAAAATCATCACATTCGATAAATTTCAAGAGGGGTCGGTGATATTGTCACAATCTAAACTTAAAGGAAAGGCAAAAGCTTCGTTCAGACACTGTAGGATCACACACCGTGATTAACAATGAGAAACATGATTTCGCAACGTTATAGATACATGTACATGTACATGTACATGCACTTGTATTTACACAGGTTTCCATGGTTGCAATGACTGTCATGAGTTTTCGATAAAACACTTGGTAACAAAGTTTATTCATAATAATAACAATACTAATAATTATTAAAACGCAAAATTTCATGTAGATATGCTCAAATGCGCTGTAGGCCTACAATGAAGACATTAAGCGTGGAACAATGAATACATTTAAACATGGTTGAGCCGACGGCATACAAGGGCGCCGCGGGCAGCTGCTAAACGACCCACATTCACCAACATCAGTAAAGAGGAGACACAAGAAGCAGTTACAGTTTCAGAGGTGGGAGGAAAACCTCAGAGGAATATTCTGGGTAAAACCCACGGAGTCAGGTAGGGACTGAAAACCCAATCCACACGTGGCCCAGGCCGGGAATCGACCCCGGGACCACTAGAGGTGGAAGGTGAGGAAAGAACTACCTTGGCAACCTGACTCCCCAATAATAATAATAATTATTATACATGTACATGTACATCATTACTTGCACTGAGAGACGTCTCAAAATGAACTTAAAGGCCTCTTAATTGGCCTGGATGCAAATTCATTTTTAACATGTTTTGTAGTCACTCGATGTATTTCAAGATTTCTCTCCCCCCCCCAAAGTTTCCAGATATCTCAAACGAGTCATTGCAACCATTTCAATCGTCTAAAAGTTTTCCGAGAATCTTGAAATATCTAGTTAAAACAATCAAATGCCACCGCGTTGAATTACATAAATGCCATGCACTCTATGTAGGTTCGTTCTCAGTGCATTTGATTCTATACTTTTCAAATCATGTAAATTTTACGTCAAATTAACATTAGACTGAGGTAAGAGAATTATTGACTCAAGTTATTTTCCTTTTCTTACAAAATTTGATGAGTCGACTGGTTGAAGATGGAAAGGCTCAAGGTCATAACTAACGGTATGGCAAAACGGCGGCTTATAACTATGGCAATTACCAATATCTAATCTAAAGAAAATAACAAAATCGGAATACTGTTCGGGAAACAACGTGGACAAAGTACTGTTCATAATGCTCCATTTTTTCGGCTCTTTACCCTTTAGATACATATCACCCATGCCAGATAAATACTATATTCGCTATTTAAATTTAATTTTCTTGTAGTAAGAAAAGAAATAATTTTGGGGCTTCCCCACGACTACTATGCATTCAGTATCACTAAAAAGGGGGAAACACCCAATAAGAAAAAGCCTTATTACAGATATTCATCAATATCCTGAACATCGCCTTCTATACCGCCCCCACATCTCTATCTCCCCCAACCCTGCTTTTCCAAATTTCCATGGTCGGGTATGTCATTCCCCATCTTTTCCCACCCCCCACACCTTCCGGCACAGATTTACGCCACTGCACATTGTCGGTCAGTGGATCGGAAACATTCGTAACAGTGGGCGTCCAATTATAGTCTGAAAATATCCAATGAAAATGGTTTAATATGATGTTATAAAATGATCAAGACGACCGCCAATTATCGAATATCTAGTCGTGCCAAGAGTTTCTGAGACACACTCACTGATGACACCATTCCAAGGCAGCTAGGCCTATCTTTTTCCAGTTAACGTCTTCTGACACAATGAAGTTTCTCCCTCATTGCTTGGAGGTCTCCCTTTAATATTTGCTTGTATTCCTGTTGTAGCAGTGTCAGGATAAGAGTCCCAAACGCAGCCTGACTTAGGACAAACATCGATCCAATTAAGATAATAACCACCACAACAGTATTACTGGCTGCCGCTGTGATATGCACAATGGGCATAACAACAACTACTGGGATCCAAGCCAGAACGAATGAGAAAAAGAAGATGGAAAAATGTTTGGTGCTCTTGCGGTTACTAGCAGCAAACATACCGACCTCCTTGCCAGGAGAGGAAACCTGTTCATCATCCACTGCTCCTTCAACGGTGCGGGGAGCGGCAGGTAGGTCGGCAGCTATGGCGCGAACCTGATGCCTAGCGATACGAACTATCAAGATGTTAAATAACGTGATAACGAAGACACATGGCAAGATGATAAGGTAACAGTAGATGACAGCCATTAGAGAGAAGGTAGTGAACACTTCTTCTGAATCATCTACCCTCAAATTCACCGAGTGAGCAACGGCCCCACTGAGACTGCCGACGGTAGTCAATCCCCAAACCGTGGTTAGGCAAACTGTACATCTGGACCGCGTCATCACTCGGACGTACACAAAAGGGCGAGAAATTTTGAACCACTTGTCGGCTGCTATGAGGACTCCATTCAAGAAGTATCCTATAACAGAGAGGAAAACACCGAACGACATCAAGAAAACCGAGGCGAAGCTGAATATTTGGCCTATGGTGAGAGTGAACATGCAAGGTAAACCACAAACAGCCACAACTATCTCAGCTACGGCCAAGCTTGCGAGGAAGAAGTTGGAGACGGTGTGGAGACTTCGTGTGCGAGCCACCGTTACGATCACCCACAGATAACCAGCAAGCATCAGCAAAGCAGTCAGCAAGAACAGAGTTGTTAAAATGATAGTCTGCGCGTCGGTGTAACCATCCGTCGGACTCGTCGGTTTGGAGCCATCAGTAGCGTTGACTTCCATATCTGGCCTTTCATCAAAATGAGTGCCTTGGAAAACGTCGTTCTCGTGAAACTTAATCAATCAAAACTGTAATCAGTCCAATCGCACGACTGTTCACACGAAAATGTATTTCACCCGTCAAGACCTTGATTTTAACCAACAGCGTTCCGGCAATAGCCGTATCCCATGCTCACCATTCAAAATATGTGAATAGTCCAGCTGGAGTTTAAAATGGTTTTAGAATAAATTCAATCTCAACTACAAAACATTTTTTTGGCTCAAGCTCTCGCAAAGAAATCGCCGAAGAACGTATGCCACACAAATTCTGCGGACAAGATAAAAACCGAGCCCTTCTGTGATTAACACACAATTGTTTCTCACAGGACATAAATACTACACTCTTACTACTGACCTACACTGTACACTGACAACCATCACACTCCATGTAAGCATAAAGGCAAAAAAGACAAGCTCTGAAGCTTCAAATGGGTTTTAAGAAATTATCAATCATGTCAACAGTCCAATTATAAGCTGAACGACCTGGCTGAATCTTCAGCATTAACCCATTGATGGGATTCGACCCGCATCATCAACCTCTAAAGGAGTAAACACCCACGTTGACAAAATGATAATGGAGCACGCCTGTCAGCAAATTGACAGCATGACACGCCTGAGAACATTTTAAGTTCAAGGTGCACAAAACGCTCTGTTGCCGTAACAATCAAATCACTCTTATCTTCAGATAGGTAAAAATCGACTGGTACCATGCATGTAAAGAGTATCACTGGTGGAGAGGGATTATAAATAGGGGCCACATGTATTTTTCCCCCGATTTATTACTATCTCGGAGCGGTGAGATAATATTCTTTGACTGTCTTTCTCGCCGCGGCGAGTTATATATACCGCGGCGTCAAATGGATATCCTGCCGCGGCGATTTTCTCAGCAGTCTAATAAGTTCAATTGAGTCTACCATCGTTCTCAATTGGGTCCTTGGGGATGCAGTGATATTGGGTTTTAGACTGCATTGAACAAAAGGAGATCTTGCTTTTCAACGAAGGTTGGTTTCCAACGCCAAAGAAAACAAAAGAAGTCTCATTTCGGGCCGTGAATGCCCCCTTTTCAGAAGTGCGAGTAGGCTTCTTTTTAATTCCCTCCTTTTTTTGTATGTGCCGAACAGAAGCACGCGGAATTGGAAGTTCTATTTGAACTTTCAACAATCGAAACGTATTAAATTATAGCACTTGAACACAGAGAATCAAAACCGTACTTCAAAAAAAATGCAAGACATGAAATACCTCGCACTTCAAATTGCAGGAGTACTGACCCAGAAACCTTATCAGCATGTAGCATGTGGCTTACGGGCAGGATGCGAATTTGAAAACAGTTCTTCCAAATTACCCATGCAGCAATCGAGGTGCTGAAGCCTTGATCATTGTTAGGCCTCTATCGTCCAGTGAAGAGAGCGTACAAATCAACATCTCGTACCCCCATTCTCTAACGCTTCTCATTTCAGCAAACAAACAAGAACTCAAACGCATATGGTTCGAGGTTTCAAGCGGCCAGTTTTGATTGCAAAGTTAACTTGGGATTATGGTGTTCTACAGCTGCCAAAATTGCGTCGCGTCGTGCTGTCGCCTCGACGCTACAACACCACGCTACGACGGCTCTGTTGCCTCCTGCCGTCGTGTCGTGGCGTCGCCTCCTTTCTCATCACTTTTATGCTGTGTTAAATGCATTGCGTCGTGCCGTCGTTGCGTCGCGTCGTGCCGTCGCATCGTGTCGTGCTGTCGACCCGTCGCGTCGTGCCGTGCCGTCGACCCGTCACGTCGTGCCATTGACCTGTTGCATCGTGGCCTTTAGCCGTCGCGTCGTGCCATCACAGCGTGCCGTCGCATCGTGGAAATAGGGGGTGCCCTTAGAGACAGAGTTAAGTTCGATACCAATAAATACCATTTTTCATGATCAAATCTTGTAGGCCCTCTGTGCGAACATTGTTTACTCCAGGACTTGTGACATACGCCCTCTATTGGCGTCAGGACATCAGGACACGTCAGCAGGACAGCAGGACGCAACGGCCGCACCTACACTGCATAAAAACAATACAATGACCGGCGACGTAATGGCGCTACGGCACGATGCGACGCTGCGCCGGTAAGACGCGACGTCACGACGGCACGATACGACGGCATCAAGAAACAGCATGACGCGACAGCAGGATGCGACAGCACGGCGCGACATACGGAGCCGTCGTAGTGCATGTGTCGCGTCGTAGTGTGGGGGCGACTGCACGACGCAACGCAATTTTGGCAGCTATAGAACACCATATGGGATGTTTTGAACAGGAAAATGAGCTTGACGAATATACATTATATTTTGAGACTACAGTACTTTCATAACATTCCAATAATTAAACCATGTTTCAAGTTAGGAGGCTGCTTGTTGGCAAGGACAAGGCTTGCAAGTAAAAAAAAATTGGAAAACTAAATCTGCTCCCCTTCAAGAGGAAATATGTGGATTTGGAAAACTTTGACGTCTGAAAGTGTCACCAGAGTCGCCATAAGCGAATCAGATATTGAATGTAAATTATCTGACACCAGTGAACTGAAGGCTGCATGCCCAGACGGAATTGGCCAACGCTAATTGAAAAATGTGTGTGCTATTGAACAGGCTGGAGTTTTTATCAAGAATTTTAACTCGTTTCTCAAAAAACCTGAAATGCCCTTTTGTTTTTTGAAAATCCACAATACCCCCAGTTTGAATCCTTCAGCAAATCATATTTATAATAAGTTTTCGCGTTTGTTTTGAACCGCATTTTTTGAAATTAATATTTAATAAACATTGTGTGGTTATGAGTATTTCTTTTTATCTAGGGAACGAGCAACACTTAAAATCCTGATTCTCGCGGCTGGAGGTTGTTCCATTTATTGCATTCGCGTCTTATCTGGGCAAAGGAGCAACTCTCCATTCACTTTGTACAGGGATTTGCATGCTTTCCTCCTTTTGCAGAACATGATGAAACTAACTGAAACCTTTTCGGTACAGTGTGGGAGATACTCACAGTGCATGAACAGTGAATATTCAGGCATATTTGACGTAAAGGTTAAGAGTTTAGTCAGTAATTCAGATTTTCCTCATAGACCACAACACTATTTTTGCCCCTTTGAGTTTCGGGTATGAAATATGGAATAGCCACCAATGGACCAATCTGAGAAGGAATCAAGACTCAGTGACGTCATCCCGACCTTAAGAATGTTCTCATTTTTTATAGGTTGAATTAACTATTATATATCTTATTATAAACCAAATAATATAATAATAATAAAAATCCATTGAGAACAGGTAAATCAATGCAGTAAAATAAGACATTGATGTTTAACATCGTTACGAGAGACTTTTATTGACTGGTTATTTGTTTACAATAAAGGGCGCTACACAGAAACCACCTGGTCGTCAACTACCCCACTAATTGTCACAACCAAAGATCGTACAGCGCCGAAGGCGCAAGATGGATAATTCTGCCCAAAAGGTGTAATTACCACGGGCACCATTTGAGCAAGCAATATGCCTGCGTGGTTTACGGTAATGCTTCGGTGCAGGCTCACCAGGTGGACGTGCCTGCCACGGTGCCTGCGCCTATGCAGTAATGTGCATTGCGCAGGCGTATCGCCTGCTCAAATGGCGCTTATGCGATTACAACGTTTTACGTGTATTTGTGGTGAAGTTCTCCATCTTGCGCTGCAACGCGGCGCTATACGATCTTTGGTCACAACTGTACTCATCTAAATCTCTGGTACCACACAGCATTCGGAAGATTCCTGTCTCCACCCCCAACCAAACCATCCTACGAACTCACCCGTTCTCCCATCCCTTTTGACCCATACGTCCCAATCCATTTGTGATGGCTCTTACCATTAAAACGTTACAATATGAACGCTCCTAAATGGTCAAATGCTCTCAATTCATCTTCAAAAACAGTAAAGTGTGTCTGACCACCATCTGAAGAATAGTTTTCAAACTGCTTCCATTACATATATCATAATGCAAACTTACACAATTCCACTTTTTTGGTATAGTCATTGTATTGGGTCATGAATAAAAAAAAAGAATATTGATCTTTCTGGCAACAGCATGGGCATTAAATTTCAAGACTTTGGCACAGGTATATGTATCAAATTGTCCTGACCTGTACAAATGGCAAGCTAGTGTACTTTGTTCTATTAAATCTTGGTTCCTTAACATTGTCATGAATCAGTAATCAATTCCTAATCATGCTAAATTTCAGGGAATTCACTTAAAAGTCCAAATATCTACAAATTCATGTTTTATAAACGACAACCTGTGAGCTGATTATAATTTCAGGTAGTCCTTAATAAAACTGCGTAATTTTTACCACAGAAATTTGCATCAACTAAGACAGAACTCATCCAAATTAAATTATGGTAATGTTATTTAGTAGACAAAACACCTACATGTACATACATATACAGTGGATAATCTAAAAAGATTCAAACTGACACAGCACCAAACTGCTCCTTTCACTCACACCCTGTAATTTTACACTCTATGTGGCAATACACATATACAATGTAACTTGAGTGCTTCCAAACTTAACCTATTTAGTCTAAGTACTAATGATGAATATGAGAATGAATGCTGGAGCTCAACCATACGTGGAATATGCTAACAGCAATCCCAGGAAGACCAGAAATGCAAGACAGCGATTCCTTGTGGTTGCGTAGTCCTCGGATACAACACATTTACTGATCTCGGCAGTCAAACAAGAAATCTCGTGAGCAATGAAGATGAAGATGAACGTTGAGACGAGAAGATTAAGACTTGGATGGCCTGGGATGAGAACTAAGATTCCCTTGGTGTCTTGAGCCAGCCAGATGTGATACTGACTGATAAACAGCTGCCAGGAAAAAGTTCAGGAGAAGCAACTTTTTAATTTAACAACAGAACAACTTAACGATATCCTTTTTTTAAAACAACCTCCACTGATAGAAGTATGTCTGAGATATTTCTACCGCGCATTTATCTCACTTGTGATTTTTCGTAATTTGAATATGATGCATAATTTCCAATTCAGTTTTACTAGTCAACATTTTTCAAATACTTAACATATATTCAAATAAGTTTCAAATCTCAAAGTTTCTCTTAGAACGTATCCTATTTTTCCGTGCCATATGAAATTTCATTGGCTCTGAAACCCTATCCCATGGTTTATTGAATTTCTGTGAGTGACCAATGACTTCTGAGGTCAAGTAGATCAAATTGGCTTTTTAACAGAGGCAGGAAGATAATTAAAAAAAAATAGACAAGACTTACCTCCAGGGATATTGTTCCGAACCAGGCAAAGAAAGTGCTGTACCGCGTCCGTAAGGAACCAGAGCTATTCCTTAGAATCACTAAACCTGTTATCTGTTGAGAACAAGACCACAAATCTCTGTAACATTTACAGCTTAACAATATTATTAAACGTCAGAATACATGAATCTCGGCATCAGAAATTGTTCATACATATAGTTCGGACAAAAAATTGACATACACCTGGTAGAACAAAACAGTTTTCCTCAAATTTCACAAAATCACTCATTCCTACCAACTTTTCTGTTCATGAGGACAGGCAAGATGGATCTCTACTTAATGTACATGGTGTATGCGTCAAATAAAAACACCCACAGATGTATATATAATTCATATTTATATTTACAAAAAAATGAAAAATTTACATACTCCAATCCCAATATTTAGCGCCACTTTCTGTATTTTTTGTGACATCTCACAGTCGTAATGGACCACCTTCTGAAGTATTTTTGAATGATGGGGGTAAAAAGTAAATGTTCAAAAAATGATTTTTCAGAAATATTAATATTTTGAACCATAATAAATGTCTCCGAATATTTCAATTGAAGCACACACTATGAACATTAAGTTGAGATACAATTTGTCTGACCTCATAAGGACAAAGTTGGCTAAACAGCCAAAAATTGAGGAAAAATGTAAATCAAAAATCAAAAAGGTATCTTAAACATTACTGGAAAGCCTCAAAATGTTTGTATGACATCCAGAATACACGTATAGTAAACATAATTTCAAAACAAATAGTCAGCATTATGTGTCTCAAAAGTTGACTATTTTTCCCCATTAAGGTTGTATTGATATCATTCGTTGCCCACACAAAAACTCTGTTTTTATCATTTAAATCTTACCGGCAATGCACTGATGAAGGTATGCACTTCATTACAATCTGGCTTGCTGCTACACATAAAAGAATGGACGGTGTATATCTAGTAAACAAAAAGAAAGAAATGATAATATAGGGTGTCTTGGATTAGTTTACGCGGAACAACCCTGACCCCGGGACAATTATATGTGTATGATGTGTCATACAAGCGGGATGAAAGGGCCCAAGGTTCAGCCTACGTGACTTGTGGAAGCTAGTTAAACACACACATTGAGTTGAATAGTAAAACTTAACTCAAATCTGAAAGACGACCACACAGTAACAACTCAACCAGTAAGTTAAAGAATGGCATTCTCCAAAATAGCCGCTGTGTTATCATGGCTGCAGTTCAAATGTGCTCTGCACAGCTTAGAATTGCGATGAAGGTCACAATGCAAATAAAATAAACATTGTTGCAGTTCTTGGAAACGGCGCAAGGCAATTATGGCTCCCTTATTTATTAAATTAAATGTGTTAAAGTTAGAGGATATTATCATATGAACCTTGGAACATTTCGGGTACCTTGGGTTTTGTACGCTTAGCCAGGGTGCCTAAAATGGGACAGAAGAGCTGGGCCTTGTAACAAAAGACTGTACTTGGAATAAAAGACCGAGCTGCTAGGAATTGCTAACATTTTTTCAGTGTCAATAGCAGAGGAAATCCATCCTTGTTTTGAAAGATTATACCACTGTTTGTGACATTCAGCGAGAGCGGATTACCACCGGGAAAAGAAGCACTTTAGCACTCCAGTGATGAGTGATACAATACCGTTGCAAGTTAATCTGGCCCCTATTGAAAAGACGCCAGCAGTGCAATTATGCCAGTTTTGGGAACAAAAGAAATTTATGTAACGCCACACAATCTCGGCTCTCTTTACAAGGCGGCAGGCCTGGCTAAAATACTCGGGCATCAATAGATGTTGTGTGTCAGATTACAGTAACCACCAGACAGTCACTCGATGCGGTTTAGGCAGGAAAAGAGGATATGAATTTTTGAAGATTTTTTAAAACCGAAGATATTGAAAATCACCCGGATTTAGACACTGAATTTCTAAAGGCACCCGGCAGCAAGTGGTTAAACTCATGAATGGTCCCATGCCTTCCTGCATACATTCATACACTTCGCTTATAGCTGATATTCATTCATATTCAACAAGAAACTCAGCTTGAAGTAATCTCTGCCAAATCCATAATCACACCACTTTGTTTACAAATGGACCACTACAATGTGGCATAGCTTCAAAGAATCCATAAACCAATCGAGGTCCCTGTATAAGTTCACAAAAAAACACCCCTCAAAACTATGCTCATTTCAAACACTGAATAACTTAACTCTTTGCTGTGGTCTGATTGCCTGCTTTTTCTTTCCTTTTTTTTCCTTTTCATATTGTTTCCCCTCAATTTCTTGTGTTTAATACATTTCCTATTAAAATCACTTGTCTTTGTACCCTTAAATAATTTTATAATGTAACAGTATTGGGCTGTAAGGGAATTCGGGGCAGGGGAGGATTAAGCCTTTGGCTTCTCCAGACCCCTTTATTGGCATTTCTGATGTTACCAGTGTCAAATAAGTTTAATTGACTGTAATGTAACACTTGTTTTTCCTGTCATTAGTTGCTCATTAAATCTCTATTCATATCAATGTACATTTACATATTTATTATTTATTAAAATGTCCATGTCTCTACTATTGTTGTTAATATCAGTGTCAGCATAAATAAAAATAAATAACTAAAATAAATAAATGATGTGGCTTTCCTGGTGGCAGCTTTTCAAATAAACAACTAACAGGAAACTGGTCAGAGGAATGACGTAGGATTCTAACCTTAGACCTCTAGAATGTACCCCACCCAGAAACTGCTCTGTTTACCTACATACAGTTTAAGGCAGAGAACCAAACCAATCACGACAGACTACAGACCAGAGGCAACGTTCTACTTACTGCAATAAAAATAAACCCAACGATGTTACTGACAACAGTCCAAGCTGTAGAGAACAGATTGTCTGAGTGGCTATCATTTAGCCTGTTGGTTACACGTAGATGGATGTAGCCCATGGCAAACAGCATACCATAAATTATGATCTGCAAGACAATAATAAGAACACTTCCACTAAAACTCTGTTTAAGTACAAGCTTAATTGCTATCTATATACTCTAATCTGTGACTACCAGGAACATCAATTCAGTGCTGCCTCTTTTGTCTCTGAGGATTGGATGTTTGTTCTTGCTCCAGTGTCACATAGCAACAGGTGCAAATTCAGTTATCTGAAATCTGCTCCAATAAGTATATAGTTACCATTGCAAAAAAACAAGTTCTTAAGTTGGAATGTAAGGTATTTGGGATGTTGGAGAAACCTGGCAGGAGTATAGTTGAAAATTACACAGCAAATACTGAGTGACTTCAGTAACATTTAAACAAAGTTTTCATATTTTCCATTTAAAACAGGACCCAATCCCACCAGTTACCGTCCAACATGACATGACAAACAGCGCTGGTCATGCTGGTAAGAAATAAAAAATTTAATGAAAAGACAAAAGCAGCAAAGAAGCATTCACAGCAGCATGAAGGACTTCTGAAGCAATGGAACCCTAGAGATGTGATTTGACTAATCTCAACTTACCTACATAAAGCCAGTCACTGAGTAAGGAGAATCGAACAATGGTACAGAGTCTCCTTGAAATGTTATGAGCCTCTTCCTCTGAGGACTACCCAATGACAGCAGGGAGAAGCTTATTTCTATCGCCCGACTACCCAATGACAGCAGAGAGAAGCCTATTTCTATCGCCCGA